CCGGGGGGTGGGCAGAGACTGGCAGGCCTGGGCACTCCCGACCCTGAGCTTCTCCTTTGAGAGGAGCCCACCCACCTGCGGGACCGGCCCAGTGACCATCAGCAAGTTTGGGTTTCTGTCCCTGCACCGAGGCTTGCTGGCTGGCAGGGGCTGCAGGGCCCCGGCGCATGGTGAGCGAGGCCGGCTGAGGCCCGCACTTAGACTCTGCGCCTCAACGAGCAACCCAAACACGGGGCCCAGCTCCAGCCCCCGGCGTCCCCCCACACGTGCTCTTCCCCAAGAAGGAGGGTGGATCCAGTGTCCACCCTGTCCCCATGTCTCACCATTCCGAACATCACGGGAGCCCCAAACACTGGTTCCAGTGCCACCCCCTGAGGCCAAAGCTGGAGACAGAGTTGACAGCGAGGCCACACCATTCTCATGCGGCTTATTCACCGACCCAGGCGCCTCGGGACTTAACCTTCGCTCCCGAAAGGCCCCACAGCCCCACGGAGGCGGTTGTGTGTTCACCCTCGGTCCTGCCGCCAGGCTGTCCCCGGCTTGGATCTGCATGTCCACCCGGGCCTCGTTTCCTGCCCCCGGGAATGGGCGCCCGTGAAGTGGGGGAGGAGAGGGCATGTGGGGGGGCACCTGCCACCGCACGCTAGCGATGCCCTCGCAAGCCCCCACCTCCTGCCGATCACCATGCGGACGTGCGATCGGTCAGATGCCGCTGCACGGGTGGAGACGTCCAGTGCCGGGCCGGCTCCAGCGCTGGCCCCGTGTGATTCCCCTGGCGCTCGACTGCGAGAGGGAGGCAGGAGGTGGGGGCTGCCGAGGGCATCGCTGGTGCTGTGGCAGGTGCCCCCCCACGTGCCCTCTCCTCCCCCACTTCACGCGCCCATTCCCCGGGGCAGGAAACCGAGGCCCGGGTGGACAATGCAGATCCAGCGGGGACAGCCTGGCAGGCAGGACGCAGGATGACCACACAACCCCTCGTGGGGCTGTGGGGCCTTTCGGGGAGCAAAGTTAAGTCCCGAGGCGCCTGGGTCGTGATAAGCGCATGAAGACGTGTGGTCCTCGCTGTCAACTCTGTCTCCAGCTTTGGCCTCAGGGGTGGCACTGAACCAGGTTTGGGGGCTCCCTGATGTTCCGGAATCTGGGGACGGCGTGGACCCTGGATCACCCCCTCTTGGGAAGAGCACGTGTGGGGGACGCCGGGGACTGGAGCCCAGCCCCGTGTTTGGGTCTCGTTGAGCGCAGATTGCTGCGGGGCCTCAGCCGGCCTCTCACCATGGAGCCGGGCCCCTGCAGCCCCCGCCCAGCAGCAAGCCCTGCAGGGACAAAACCCACAACTGCTGTGTCACTGGGGCCGGTCGCCGCGTGGTGGGCCTCCTCTCAAAGGAGAAGCTCAGGGTCGGGGTGCCCAGGCCTGCCAGTCTCTGCCCCACCCCCATCGCCTCCCCGGAGGCCTCTGTGCCCAGCTCCCAGTGGCCCGGACACCCAGGAGGTGGCAGTGACCAGGCCGGGCACAGCGGGGCGCCTTGTCCTGCAGGGACCCTGGGGCAGGAAACCCGAGCCTGCCCTGCCCCCGCCCCCACCTCGGCAGAGGCCGCCCGTCCCCTGGGCCAGCCTCCTGGGCCCTCGGCCAGGGGCCACAGGCATCAGCCCGGCCCCGCCCTGCAGTGCCCAGGCAGGCAGGCCCGGACCTGCCCGCGGCCGGCAGGGGCAGGAGGGCACAGCGTACAATCTGTCGCTTTTGTCTGTCCCCAGGCCGGCGGGGGCTGCTGAAGGGCCGGGGCACACTCCTGGCGCCACGTGCCAGGCCGCCGTCCCGAGAAGTCAGTCGCAAAGCAGGGGTGGCCCCGCAGCGGCCAGGCTGGGCACGGGGGAGGGGAGGCCTGGGGGGCGGTGGGCGGCTGGCGGGCAATGACGGCCCAGGGACAGGCAGCTTAGCGCTCGCTGGCCACAAGCCAACCCTCCTCAGACTCAGGGCCGCCCCTGCGTGTGGCCACTCTGCCCACGTTCCGGGAGACGGTGCTCAGAGAGGTTAAGTGGCCTGCTGGAGGTCACACAGCTGTAGCCGCAGGAATGGATGGCTGAGCGGCTCTTTCTCAGAGCTGGAAACGGACTCAGTCGCCCCCACACCCCCACACTTCACCACACCGTCCACGGGAGCTTTAACGGGGCCACGCTCACTTGCCCCCATCCTGGGCCGAGCCGGCCACACCCCAGGGAGCCGAGGTGAGGCCGGCACGGGGGCACCAGGGTGGGCACGATCCCACCCTCACCCCTCCCCGCCCGGCCTTTGGGAGGAGCCGCGATTGGCCAGGGCGGCTTCCTGGTGCAGGTGGGGCCGACTCGGACTCGGGGGGCTCAGGAGGGGCCGGCCGGCGGGAGCCGGACTTCCTTGGACCCAAGAGGACAAGTGCCCTCACGTGCAGGCGACACCCCGAGCCCAGAGACGGCAGACCACTCAGCTGACGTCACACAGCATCGGGCGAGAAGTCCCGTCCCCTTCACAGCCATGTCGCTTGCATCAGCCCACGGCGCCAGCAGCCCCTCGGCGTAGCCACGGACAGGGCGCCGTCCACGCGTGGGATCGCGCCTGCCACGAACGGGAGTGAAGCTCTGACACGCCACGCAGGGGCCGGGGCTTGGAGACGTGGCGCTGGGTGGAGCCACCAACCTTCCTAGCGTCCGCCTGCAAAGTGTCTCCCCACAAAGGCCCAGGTGAGAGACGCAGACGGAGAGACAGAGACAGGGAAAGAGAGAGACAGAGGGAGAAAGAGAGAGAAACGGGGAGTCAGATACAGAGAGAGATACAGGGAGAGAGACAGAGATGGGAAAGAGACAGAGAGAGATACACGGAGAGAGACTGAGACAGGGAAAGACAGAGACAGAGAGAGATACAGGGAGAGAAACAGAGAGAGAGACAGGGACAGAGACAGAAGGAGAAAGAGAGAGATACAGGGAGTCAGAAACAGAAAGAGACAGAGAGAGATACAGGGAGAGAGACAGAGATAGAGACAGAGAGAGATACACGGAGAGAGACAGGGAAAGAGAGAGAGACAGAGAGAGATACAGGGAGAGAGACAGACAGAGACAGAGGGAGAAAGAGAGAGATACAGGGAGTCAGAGACAGAGAGATACAGGGAGAGAGACAGGGAAAAAGACAGAGAGAGATACACGGAGAGAGACAGAGACAGGGAAAGAGACAGAGACAGAGAGAGATACAGAGAGAGAGACAGAGACAGGGACAGAGACAGAGGGAGAAAGAGAGAGATACAGGGAGTCAGAGACAGATAGAGATACAGGGAGAGAGACAGAGATAGAGAAAGAGACAGAGAGAGATACACGGAGAGAGACAGACAGGAAAGAGACAGAGAGAGAAATACAGGGAGAGAGACAGAGACAGGGACAGAGACAGAGGGAGAAAGAGAGAGAGAACAGGGAGGCAGGGACAGAGCTCGAGCGCTCCTGTGGCTCAGCGGCCCACGCCTGCTGCCCCCCTGCCGGGGGCTGGGGGCTCGGTGGACGGTTGTGGGCAGGGCCTCCCTATGCCCCTGTGCCCCTGTCCTCTCCCTGCTTCCACACTCCCGGCCTGCCGCTCAGGGTGCCGTGTGGGCGCCCCCTTCCCGCCCGGGCACAGGAGACCTCAGCGAGCACAGGGCAGGGGTGGGGTCTGGGCCCGACCCGCCAGCCGGCGTCCCACGCACAGCGCGGGCCTCTGCTGTGCCAGCAGGAGCCAGCCCCGTGTGGCGCCAGGAAGGGGCTTCCTCGGGGCCTGGCGTTGGGCCCCCCAAGCCCGCCCTGGACCTGTCACCTGAGACGTAGGCAGCTGTGGGGGTCTGGCCCGAGGCCCTGGTCAGAGAGCATATTCCAGGGCGCCCCACTGTAAACCGAAAGCAAAATAATCCTAAACCCTCTGCCGACCGAGTTCCCAGCCATGACGGCGTGGGAGAGAGAAGTATCCCAGCCCCTCCCATGGCTTGCCGAGTGTGTGTTTGACCCCCAGGCTGCCCCCTCTGCGAGAAACAAAGCTCTCCTTTCCCCGAGGTATAAATCTCACCGTTTTTTAGTTAACAGAATGGCGACCACGGAGGGACCCAGGGAGACCCCAGGTTCGCCCAGCGTGACCGGCGCCTGCAGGAGCCACTGATAGCCCAGCTGCCCCCCGGAACCCGCTGGGAGTAGCTCGGGTAGGTGCCCCCAGGTCCAAGATCTCCGGCTTTTAGGATGACGATCTCAGAGACTTGACTTCTCCCCACTACCTTCTTCCCTTCTCCCTAGGTCTGGTCCCCTGCATTCCGGACCCCGGAGAAAATGTTTCCGTCGGTCCCAGGTTTGGGGGTGCCTAGTCAGACTCAGCTGATCCGTAAGGTCGTGGGGACGCTCTCATGAGGTCAGCGTAGCTGCAGAAACCTTAGTTTCAAGGACTCGTTCTCCAATCCACCACCACAGAGACACTGGTGACGAACATGGTTAAAAACTGTAAAAAGAATTCCTGAAAATGTTTTAAACCTGCCTTGAAATGATTTAGGGCTTTGCTGGCTACAATAAAGTCTCAGGGGACCTCCAGGTTATCAGTGTGCTCGACTCGAACAAAGAGGCTATCAAACCTTCCAGAGCAGTGAAGATTATACTACCCTGTTTCCCCGAAAATAAGACAGGGTCTTATATTTATTTTCCCTCAAGAAGACACCCTAGGGCTTTATTTTCAGGGGATGTGTTATTTTTTTTTAAGTGTGGCACAACAATCTACATTTATTCAAATGTAAAGTCGTCTTCTTCTGGAACATGATCATAACTCTCCAAACCCCGAATTCCATCCTGAATTCTTGCGACCTATTTCCTTTAGAGCCCTCGGCCCCATCTCTCCTGTTGAGCACTACAGCTCTCATGGGGCAGATGACAAGGGCTGCTCGTCTTCCTTACCGCTCCGCGACGACACGCACGGGTTGTGCAGATGCGCTGCGCAGCCACGCCCGTCACCTGGTCTTATTTTCGGGGTAGGGCTTCTATTGGGCAAATGCTTAGAAATCCTGCTAGGGCTTATTTTATGGGTAGGTCTTATTTTCGGGGAAACACAGTATAGTCGGCATCTCCAGCTTGCTAACTAGGACCGAGGCATAGCCTCCCTGGATGACTCAAAGTCAGAGAGAAAGTGGCACATGGGACATATTCAGAGTGGATTCTTTCCTTCTTCCTTTCTTCGCCTTCCATCTCTGCTCCTGAACAACCGTTTTTTTCTTCCCAACTAGTTTTTAAAAGCAATCGCTCCAAACGCTGCCCTTTGTTTTTTCTTGTTGAAAAACCTCCTCTGCACTAAGTACTAGCCCTTGGAATGGGACTCGAGGCTGCCTCACAAACTGCTCTATTCAAAGAACTAACAAAGGGACTAAGGATAGGGGAGGATATGTTTAAATCCTGGGTTTTTTTCTCCCTTGTTATCTCCGTTTATTTGTTTGTTTTTCCTCTGCTCTTTTCCTCTGTCTCTAACTGCCTCTAAGCCAAATTTCTCCAAAGCTATCAGTTTAGCTTTAACTACTTAAGCTTTTCAGCTTCAAAATAGACTAATAAGGAGATTAGACATGTTTTGCCACAAGGTACATGTCCTTAACATGTCGCGCCCGCCTCGCCAGCAAGGAAGACGCGGCAACCCGGAGTTCTTCTGACGTGCTTTAATGGGGTTCCCTTTAGACTTAAGATGCGGAAGAACGCTGAGCACAACTCTCACACACTATATACTCTAAGGAAGGGGGAAGTGATGGGATAGGTTAAAGGCGCGCGAGGGTTATTACTGATAGCCAAGCTAAGATCCTTCATATGCATACTTAATGAGACAGGAAAAGCCCTACACCTGCGCGGTTCACTGTTTATCATTCCTGTAGTATCGGTGTGACCAGAAAGCCGGCGCCCATCTTGCAATGGCGTTAACACGCCCGCCCCACATTACATATTTGAAAATGACTGCTGCAAAACTATCTTTTGTCAGAAAAAAAAAAAAAAAAGCCAGGGTTATCCTTTCCTGATATAAAAGACTCAATTAGCAGAGTCTCCCCTTTCAAAGGTCTGAAAAGAGGCATGTGCCCTCTGTCCGCACTGAGGGCTGTGGCCAGGGCGATAGATGACCCTCACCAAGCGGTCAGGCCGTCCCCCCACCCCACGCCTGGTTTTCTGCTTTTCAAGCAGTAAAAAACCTTTAATTTCCTGTCTTCTTCCACCTATGAGAGGCCCATTAGGTATTTTTATGTAAAGGTCTCGGGCTATGGAAAAAATATATTTTTTTTTCTTGCCCCATCCTCAATGATGTGGTTTAAAGTCAGCTGTCCTTGTAGACGGGAGTTTGCCAGACTCACTGCTAGACGTTTCCACCCTGAACCTGCAGGTCCGGCAGGCCAGACGCCGTCTCTGCTAAGCGTTGTAAGGGCATAACACCCTCGCTTCTCTGATATGTTTAATGCTTGCTGGATCCACTGCCTGTAAACTGGCATTTTTTGTTTTGAGCCTGTGGATTCTGGGGTCTGGATTGGTGGCCACGGTGAGGCCCAGGGGGTGGGGTTGGGGTGGGGGGTGTTGTCAGCACCTGGGCCAGCAGCCCCCAGAGACAACCAAGCCCACTCACTGGGTCCCCTCCCTCCCCGCCCAAGTCTGCCTCCTGACTGTTCTAGGAGGGGCTGGATCCTCCAGGCATCCTGTCTCTGCACTCAACATACCCCTGAAACTGCCCTTTATGGAGGTAATAGAGGGCCGCAAGGGGGACCTGTGCTAGGGAGATAATCAGCCACTGTCCCACTGTCCCCAGCTCCTCGCTCTCCTGCACCTGTTCACCACTCAGGAGTCACACAGCCGACGGCCATGAAGACTCTCAGCCCGAAGGTAACATCACTTGTTACCACCCAAGGCTGGTTTTTGAGGGATCCTCCAGGCCTTGCATTCCGGGGGAACCCCCGACCCACCCAGACCAGCGGCCCACACCAAGGAGCTGACCCAACTGGTCTTGCGACCCCACCACGGAACTGACTCAGCAAAGACGACAATATCTACACCCTGTGATTCCACCTGAACCCGGCCCATCAGCAGACCCCATTCCCTAGCCAAACTATCTTTAAAAACTCTTTCTCCCCAATTTTGGGGGGAGATGGATTTGAGAACTTCCTCCTGTCTCCTTGCACGGTGCCTGCGATATTAACCCTTCCCTCTGCTGTGAGCCTTGGGTCTCTGTCCTGGCTTCCTCTTGAGCAGGCAGGGACCCTGGCTGGGCTGGAAAACACCTGGTGGGTAAACTGAGGACACAGGCCCTGCCCTTCACAGACGTCTGGGATGCCAAGACCCAAGGGGACCGAGGAGAACATTAGGGATGGTACCTGGGCTGTAGTGTCAAAATTCTTTCCAATAACTTAAAATCTTAAAGTCATGTTATGTTAAAGAACATAATCATAAAACATCTGATTTTTATAAGTCATTTATAAGTTAATTTATAAGTCATTTTATAAGTTATTTATAAGTTAAATAACTGAGTCATTTATAAGTTAAAATACTAAACATTACGAAACATAAGTTTATCTTCTTTAACATTTTTTTTTATATGATATAGAAAACCAAAGATAGTTAGAATACTAATATAAACTGGGAACTGATAACGGCTCAAAGTTACTCCCCAGATTTTTCATCAAAAATCCACCACGATGACTGGGACAGCCCCATAGGAAGACACTGTCCCCGAGGCTGGCCTCACCACCGCCCAGGGCCCTCCTGCCTGCCTGGGGACTCAACTCGGTTCTTCCGCAAAACACGGATCCAGGAACCGGCCCAGACTCAAAGGATGCAGAGGAACTTGAACCATAGAGAGCCGGATTTCCACCTTCCCCGGAACACTCTGGCACTGGTGGCTTTGGACCCAGGGCCTCACGAGGACACTAGTGACAGAGCTGCAGAGCAGAGCGCTAGCTCCCCTCAACCTGGGGCACACACCTGCACCTACAGCGGTGGCGTCTCTGCAGGTGCCTGGGAGCACCCCCTGCCCCCACCCCCACCCCTGCTGGAGCTCAGGAGACTTGGCTGCTCAGACACAGACCTGGGGTGCAGAGACTCCAGCTGCCCCTGGAATCTGTCCCCTGGCAGGGACAGGACACTCCTTCGCCTACCAGCAGCATTTTAGGCAAGGATCTCGGGGGTGAGAAAAAGCAACCAGTTCTAAAGCAACTTCCTCTAAAGCCACCTCCAATTTTTCCCAAAGACTTGCCTTTTAATTCTGAAAGGTGTTCACAAGGGGACCTTGGCTCTCAGACAAAATGGGAATTGCATTTGCAAACGTTGCCGATCAATTTTGAAATCACACGTTTCAAGGTGGGGGAAAAGAGACCAATATCTGATAAAACATTTTCAGGAAGTTACAACAACAGTTGCAAAATGCAAATATATTGTTGGAAGTGCGGCTTTTCCCCTGAAGACTGAGGATGAGAATGGGTTCTGTGACGTCATGATGGGCAGTCTGTATCCTCACCCGCGTCCCGGGGTGTGGGGGAGGCTGGCTGTCTCCGAATTGCTGACCGGGCCATCGAGTTTGGGGCACAGAAGTGTGAGTGGCCCCAGCCTTGACCCGACTCTCGTGAGGTCTCAGACCGGGCCCCTCTGTCACCAGGCCGGACCGGCAGCTGTGGTCCAGGCCGGCCGGTGCCCGCACCAGCCACGCCAGCAAAGCCCCCGCCCAGCCCAGCCAGACTCCCTTGGGGGAAACTCCCAGGGAATTCCAGCAAAACATCTGTGACTCAAAACTGCAAACCGTGAGGGCTCACACCGGCAGCTGCCCCACCCCGGGCCGGGCCGGTCCACCCAGGGCAGGCTGGGGAGCGAAAGGATGGCGCGTTCCCAGAGACCCAGCCTGTGCAAACGTCTTGGAGCTGAAGAGCATGCCCTCCGCCGACTTCTCGGTTTGACTCACTGCTGTTTCTCAGCGCTGGGTCCCCCCAGGGCAGCTGGGTTCCCAGGGCACATGTGCAGCTCTCGGCTGTGACTGGGTGGGGTTCCTGCCCTGCACACAACAGCCGCCAGCCCGGCATGGGGAGGAGCCGGCAGGAGAGGAGGGGCCTCGACCCTGGGGCCGGCTGAGCACCTTCAGGGCCCCAGGTGCGCACACCAACGCCGCCAGGTGTGCGGCGCTGCCCAGAGCCCAGGGCAGGTGCAGCTCTCTGTCCTGGGTGGCTGGGGTGGGGTCAGCCCTTCGGCCAGCACCTGCTCCTCAGGCAGCTCGGGGCAGGGCCCGCAAGGAGGGCCCAGCTGGGAGCCCCGGGGCTGCCCACAGAAGGCTGCCCGCTGCCCCTCCCCTGGTGCCCGGAGCAAGCACGAGCCAGGAAAGACAAATTCAGCCTCATGGCGGGCAGGGTGCGCCGTGTGAAACATGAGCACAGTTGGGGAGGCCGATAGGGCTGCCCTGGGCTGGGGCCCGTCATGGGGGGGTGGGGCGGGAAGGCAGACTCCCAGGGCAGCCTGGGGGTCCGAAGCCCACACCCAGTGCCCCGTGGGAGGGGCCATCAACCAGTTCCCAAGACAGAGGAACTGCTATGCAGACCCCCGAAATACAGAAACGCCAAAGCACTGCTAACTCCCTGAAGACTGGCGACCCCGAAATGTCCCAGCCAGTGCGGGCACCATGCATCTCATCTACCAGCC